AACCGGACCGGACCGACCGCCGACACCACCACTACACGACCGACTACTCCTCCACTAACTAACTACACGAGAGAGACGACTCTCTTCTCTCTCTCTCTCTCTCTCTCTCTCTCTCTCTCTCTCTCTCTCTCGCTCTCTCTCTCTCTCGCTCTCTCTCTCTCTCGCTTTCTCTTTCTCTCTCTACATATAACACTCTATATATAATTTGAGATTATCCGAGGTGAAACACTCTCTATACTTCTTTTACTATATATATACTATTGTACTTGTTTCAGTCCAGGTGTCTGTAGTGCGTGCAGTCTACTGGTCTGTGATATAGTGGAGTGGCGCGAATCAACAATCGTAGCTCTGTGCAATCGAGCGAATGCGAAGTTTTCCAACAGCTGGATTGTCGCCGCAAGTCTTTCTTCGCGCTCTAGATCGATGTACCGGCGAAATGGTGTTTCGTAGACGATAGTTATCAAGAGTAGAAGATTATATATTTCAGTTGTATTATCGGTGGAAGTCGAAATGTTTCATCGGGTCCACGGTGGAAGTCGACACGTCTCATCAGTCTATATAAAGAAGGCAGCTGCGCAACCTATGCGCGCACACACGTGACCCTGCAGCATCCGTGGGAATAATGACCATTTGCAGCTCCTGGCTAATTTACCCCGCCACGACCACGTCACTCACTACGTCACCATCACGAGCAGTTGTGTCAACGCTACACATTGACGATTATCAGGTGCATAAGCGTACAACAAAGCCGCGAGAAAATATTACAGGCGGAGTAAATAAAACACAAATATATCGACAGTTTAAGCGTACAACAAAGCCGCGAGAAAATATTACAGGCGGAGTAAATAAAACACAAATATATCGACGTGTTTTATTTACTCCGCCTGTAATATTTTCTCGCGGCTTTGTTGTACGCTTAAACTAACTATATCGACAATTTCGCAAATTATTACGAAATTCGAAAATAAAATACCCATCTGTTATTTATCATTAAAGACACGAGGGCGTGGTGCGTACCCAGGATGGTTTTGGGCCAAGGAAATTGTTAATTAGGACATCATTATTCTGGCAAACGAATGGAAAACCCTGAATTGGCCGATCAAATAACAAATCGGTAAAAAAAACCGGATCACACCGCTTGTTGCCATAGTGATAACTGTACTCTGTGGCGTGTTTGCAGGAGCAAGCAGAGCAGAAACAGAAACAGAAACAGAAACATTTGTCTACTCCATAAAATGCTCTTCAGTGGACGATAATTCTATATTATCCTTTGTTTTCACACGATATTGGATTAGCACTTTTGCTATGCCTAAATCTGGATATTTAGTAGCACACGACAGACGTTTTAATATGCAGTATATAATCACTTTATAATATATATAAGACACGCTATAATATATAGCCGCGCTATAATAATAGTCGGTGTTTGATATTCATATATGATTCAGTTGCACACGACGGGTAAGGAATCAAAGAATGCATAATAATATAGTCTGCTAGCGATATTTTTACATTGTTTAGACATGTAGTATTCGATGCATAAAGTAACGTTACACTATTATATAGTCATAGTCTGCGGAAGATAGCCAATCGACACGTATCGTTTATAGGCTTAAATTAATGCATATATAATTGTTAACTGATTATACAATTACTGCATTTATTGTGGGCGTGGTTTTTATTTTCCACTTTGTTTTGAGACATTAAAATTACGGTTCGGTCACAAAAGAAATCCAGGCAACGCCGGAACCCTACTCGCCTACAGACACGGTTACAACCGTACGTGATTATTAATTAACTCCTATATTATCAGGAGTCTATCAATAGACTCCTGATATTATTGCACGAGGACTCGGCATATGTACCAGGGATCTTTTTATGCTAATAATTCATATTATGCTAATGATGTTAAGCTATACTAAGATAGTGTTATACAAGTAGCTTAGATACTAAATAAATATAAACAGATAGATATAGTTTGGCATTGGCATATAGATTTAGCATTTTTCTGGCGAGTCAGTGGCGAAAGTAATGCTACCTTGCCTACATGTGAGAGATCCCGGAAGCAATTTATACGTGTACCTTAGAGTGAACAAAACATTATTAATTTTATTCACTACCGCTTGTACTTTATCGTAGAAACAGCGCGCGTGTGGTGTGGTGTGGTGTGTAGTGGGAAGGATTGATTAGGCTTTTGTTGGCGACAACAATGGCTTTACCTCGTTATGGACGGGAAAAGAAATGCATAATTAATTTCACGACGAGATTAAATTGATTGCTTGCGACCACAGTGACTAGTTCATCGAGGTGTGGTTTTCGCTTCGGGTAAGTTGTGTAGAAAGTATAGCGACCAGAAGGTGTTCGTATCATAATTAACTAATATTATTACGTTACAATATATTTAGTTTAAATTAATACGCTTGTATTTAGAGATGCGATACACCCAGCATATTACAGTCAAGACCCGCGAAATATTTGCATCCGTGTTGAGTTTTGTCGAGCATTACCAAACACCGTACGCAATTATAGATTATATAGGCCTTTGCTGTTCTACCATTTGTCTGTGGCTCTAATTGGAAGTTTTCGGCTCTTTCACGAATGGCCTATTTTATTCCAACGAAATGTCACACGATGATGACTTCCTAATTTTACTACCGCTATAAGTACTTTGGAAACCGGGAATGTATGTAGATACTACACTAGCTTGCTACAACGATTTTTATTATGATATGCAGCAATGTACCGTTTTAATTGGTTAAGTACCTCATTTATCATGATTCTCGCATTGTGTGCCGGAAGCTGAAGACTGCTAAAATGGCCAAATTTTACATATAGAGCACAACATAAACTATTAAGAATTACCTAGTTCGTTTTTCTAGAGGCATGATACCCGAGTAGGTTGCCAAAGGTACCGAGTCAAAATTCCGATTTAACACAATTTTAATTACGTAGGGATTATATAGTTGACTAGTAGCTAAAATACTTTCAACTTGACAACTGTTACGTTAGCCGCATTTACTGTAATCAGAGTTTAAAGTTACGTAATAGTTGATGCCTCATAATATATGGTAGAGTACAGTAGCTAGTAAACAAATACACTGTAAAATTATAAGTGGCGACTTGCAGCTTAGCTACATTTATTAGTATAGCACAGTCCAAGGACAGCTAGACAAATTACAACACTACTCTATACAAGTAAATAGGTGCGTGCAGTCTTTATCCTTTTTCATGGTAATGATCTGAGTTCTGCTGTTTGACGGATGCTCTATCTCTCAGAAGGATAATGTTACATCGACATACAATAATTTGCGGCACTACTTCTAAGTAGCGTAACAGCAATAGTCTGGGATCCTACACAAGAATAGATCTATTGACCTCGCGCTCGGGGTACGGTGCTTCTTACAGCAAGGATCGTATAGTAGCAGTAAATAGCAGTAGCAATCTTCCTATTGCTACTTAAACAATTATAAGTGACTGTTCTGCATTCATGTAGTTCATTTTTCGCCCAACAACCAATACGTAAGCACAGCACCCTTTCCTTTCATTTCTATCTCACCCCGCTCCTCTAGGATGAATGTGTCAAATGGTTCTAATAGCCTTCTCGACCAAACACTGACGTGTATCTTCAATGCTGAAATATGAATTAGCATGGCAACGTGTAAATAGCTTATAATAGGAATTCCTTTCAAACATCACGCGGACATCATGATCAAGCGATAAATATATGTGAGATAATAAAGCCTTGTTGCACTCAATATAAATTACCTATTAATTCACAGACAGATGGCGCCACATTGTTGATTAGCAGCTGTCTTAGCATTATTAGATATGACCACTGGAGTCTATCAATTACTATTAGGAGTCTATCAATAGGAATCTATTGATAGACTCCTGATATGACCAATGGGGATTGTACATGGAGTCTGGGAAATGTGTGCGTGCATGCATGGTCATATCTGAAGAATCCTTTGCCACATATATTTGTATCCATCCACGCCCACATATATATATATACCGTATGGTCATGCGTTGGCGGCGATGTTACATAATAAAAGCTATTGCCAATTACATCGGCTGTAACTACAATACATGCCCACCCTTTTCTTAAACCGATATTCTGAACCGCAATGATATTCGTGAGAAAGGCAAAGCGATATGACAAATGCTTACGCAGTCCATTAGATTCCATCCTTGAAGCTGTGTTCACGGTGTCTCCAAACAGACAGTATCGAGGCATGGTTAGGCCAACGACACCCGCCACGCACGGCCCTATGGCATGCAACAGCACACTTGATAACATAATTACTACTTATACTGTCTTCTACTAGTATCACATCGTGACTATAATAGGTACCACCGCAATAACGAATACTCTTTTAACACATAATTTTACCTATCGTACATAATCACCATCTAGAGAGATAAACTGAAATCGACGCACGCAATAATTCCAAAAAAGTCCTGCCACTGCATTTGTAACCTGTTCTTGCTGTGACATCTCTCGGGAGGCAGGGAATTTCGTAATACATTCGCAGTTGGTTTTAAATCGTATTATGGGTGTTTTACAATCATTACGTGGCTTCATGCAGTAGAGGGGAGGACACGCATGTGCTAAACTGAAATTGCATGAGACAGACAAATGCTGAAAAGGGAGGAAAGTGGGAGGGAATTGAACTTCTAGGGGGGGTCTGGGTGCATCCACCCAAATTTTTTTTTGAACATTATAAGCTCTGAGATGCAATCTAGAGCCATTTCAGTGTACTTCAATAGCTCACAACTAGCAACACTTTTTGGTGGAAAAGGAAAAAATGATGTAAATTTTACCTACTGTAAAATTTTGATGGGCACTGGGGAATTTCGTCTGTGTTGAGTGTGTCCAAAGTAAATGTATTTTGTAGACATACAAGCTCTTACGTAGGGAAGCTTGTATTTAGCTACACCCTGTATAAAATGTATATAGTTTTTCCAAACGTTAAAAACAATATGACACGGTTAAACCTGAGTGGTGCGACGAGGCTGTAATGCTGTTTGCATGACTATAGTAAGTAATACGACGTGCTTTGCAGCTACAGTAACTTATGTGTGTTAAAACTTGAGACAATTATTATTATTTACTGTATAATTCAACATGCTATATTACCTAAATCTTCTTAATAATTATTATTTTAAAACAGTATACTGATCGTTTGTTAACTACCAGTGATACTTTATTGTTTACATCCAAACGTGAAATGCGCGGGGATGTGCGAATTACTCCACAACCTAGCGCACGTAAACAGAGAGCGTACCGCACGACCCGTGCACGTAAATAAAACCTGGCCAACACAATGTAAGGTTCACTACCACTGACCAAAAGTAAGCTCCACCCACTTCTTATCGATTTTTGGTATGCCAACGCTGCTACTGGATTCAGGTACCTGTGCTAACCTGTGCGTCCGAACATCCCACGCACGTTTCTTGAATGCCAACTAAAGTTTGACCGTACTCTGCTTTTATTATTATGTTAGCAAGCATACATTAAGACAATGATACGAGTAGAAGCGCTCCGGATAGTTACCGAGTCACAGTGTGTTCACATGTACGCGATCGTCAAAGACCACGGAGGTATTCTTACCCCCCCAAAAAATACCTAATACCTGATACCTAATACGACCTGTTATTTGTGGACACGTGTGTATATCTCTACCTCTCTATATGCTTATTATTATCAGAGATTCTATCATCGTTCATTCATTTATGTAGCTTAAAGTTTCTTTGGGTGCGACCGCGCGCCAATTTAGAAATAAAATATTGAATTTGTTTTACAGAGTGCTTGTGACAGGCTCGGTACCAGTTACAATGCTGTGTTGATTGCATAACAATATGCAATTATCCCATGGATCTGAAAGAAACATTAAGTTTTGCGGATCGAAAAAATGAATATTACCCGGAATCAGAGGACGAGTGTAATATTGATTTCCGCCGTCCACAAAACCTCATGATGTAGAAAAAGCCGTGGTTTTGGTAAAGTAAATCTGGAGTAAATAATACACCAGGGAGTTGCGTGTCTGCGTGCGTGCGCGCGCGTTTGTATATACGTGTGTTTGAATGTTAGTGCGTGTGTGCTAATGTATATCCTTGTGTAGGTGTGCTGGTCTATATACATTATGTGTATGCGTGCGTGCGTGCGTGCGTGCGTGCGTGCGTTCATTCGTGCGTGCGTGCGTGTGTGCGTGTGTGGTATATGTGTGTGGCTGGGTGTGTGTGTGTGTATATGTATATCGAAAGTGAATAAAAAGTAAATAAAGTGCATATAAAGCAAGGCACCTGAATGTATGCCGATGCGGAGTTTTAGCTGATCGGTCGGGCGGTGTCGCATCCTGAAAGCGGTGACAGTACGCAGCAGATGGAGAGCCATGCGGCAGATCTCTGACGTGTGGTTGTTACCGTTGCGTAACGGTAATCCGCTTACCACCATATAAGCATCTCCTATCGTCTCCACCTGATCCAAACAATCAGAAGAAACATTAGCTTTATATGAAACTGTCAGCAAAATGAACAGCTTTATATGAAACAATCAGAAGAAACATCAGCTCAATACTAGGTCATCTCCTGATGGCCGAGTATTGCAATAGAAATACGCTATCGCTAGTGAACCAAGAGAAAATTGCGTGAATGTTCTTAAACGCGAAAAGCTCTTGCCGATATCTGTGTTAATCCTGTATTGATAGATGCGCAGCAGATGGATCGTAGTGCACACTTAGTCAATTATAGGTCGGTAATTGCATAACCTCATTACCACTATAGATATTTCTATACGTAGTCTTAGTGTTACAGGGTCTCATGTGCCTAAGCGGACCCTGTCATAAATTCATGAGGAGCGAATAAAAATACATTTTGTTTTTAATCACTCCTGAACACATCTAAGAAGGCTTTTGGTTTTTAGTTAATCATGAATTTAACTGTAATGCGTGCGCGTTCTAGTATCACTGTTACTTACTTTATATACATCGTACTCGGCGATTATGGCGTCAAAGAGAGTGTACAGATCATTAAGTAGATTTACTACCTGAAATTAAGCGAGATACGAACATAATTTTACGAGTACCTCTATCGTAAATATAAATCTTTATATATAAAATATTTTAAAATAGTTTTGCAATAATATTTCTTTTATAATTATATTCTTTTATTATTTAATCAACTGTCGGTTATAAATACTATAGATGTGTTTCAGCGTTCGCTGATTTCATTGCAATGCGTCTTCTGCCGGTATATCGGTCATCTGTATAGGTGTGCTGGTGTATATATACCTGTATAGGTGTGCTGGTGTATATATATACCTGTATAGGTGTGCTGGTGTATATATATACCTGTATAGGTGTGCTGGTGTATATACCCTGTATTAGGTTCTGGCTGTATATACTGTATAGCGTGTGTAGTAGTATATATACTGTACTAGGTGTTGCTGGTAACTTTTTAGAACTGTATAGGCGACTGTGCTCGCGTAATATACCTGATTATAGGTGTGACTGGCTATACGATATGGTATAGGTGTGATGGTATATATACCTGTTATAGGATGTGTAGTGTATATTTACTGTACTAGTGTGCTAGTGTATATCTATACCTGTTAGCGGTGCGTGGTGTATATACCTGTAGTGCGTGGCTGGTGTATATACTGTATAGGTGTGCTGGTATAATGATACAGTGTATAGGTGGCGCTGGCTTGTATTAGGTGTGTGGGTAGGTGTTGTGGCTTAGTACCTGCTATAGGTGTTGAACTGGGGGTTGGGGGGCGCGGCGGTTGGGGCGGATGGTATATTATACCTGTATAGGTGTGCTGGTCTTATACCTGTATAGGTGTGCTGGTTATATATATACATCTATATGTGTGTGCTGGCGTATTTGTATAGGAGGTGCTGGTTATATACCTTTAGGTGTGCTTAGTGTATATTACCTGTATAGGTGTGATAGTGTATATATACCTAGTATAGGTGTGTGTGATTTTTATACTGCTATAGGTGCGTTGGTGTACTCATACCTGTCATTAGAGTGCTGACTGGGGTTATACTGTATAGGTGCGTGCGTTGATATACTGTATATAGGTGTAGTGGTGTATATATCCTGTATAGGTGCGCTGGTGTATTATCCTGTACTTAGCTGTGCTGGGTATGATGCTATAGGTTGTGCTGGTGTATATACCTGTATAGGTGTGTGGGTACTATACCTGTATTCAGGTGTGCGTTGTATATATTACTGTATAGGTGTGCTGGTGTATATATATACCTGTATAGGTGTGCTGGTGTATATACCTGTATAGGTGTGCTGGCGTATATACCTGTATAGGTATGCTGGTGTATATACCTGTATAGGCGTACTGGCAGCGCTGATTGCTGTAAAACCGACGATGTCTGAGAAGTATATCGTCACTAAATCGTACGCCTCCGGATCCACGCTTCGTCCAAGTTTCAACTGATCTGCTACCGATCTTAAATTAATGATAATTATATTGCCAACACGGTGAAGATATTATCGTCGCTATCGCACGAGATTGTTATATTAATAAAAATTAAATTGAATATTAAATATTAAAATTTATTCGATTAACAAGAGTGTCTGTCGGAAGTATCTCCACGCTTCAGGATATTGTATCGTTGTTGCTATTATTATTATCATTATTATTTTTATTTTATCATTATATTTTCTATTATTTTGCCCGATATATAAACCCGATAAAAGATAAGCATGCCGTTATTACTTGGGCAGGACTCTATACAGCAGCTCCTCGGATCGCTTCTTCTCCTCGACGAAAGCCGTTGTTCTCTCTTCTACTAGATCTTCCAGATTGTTCGCGTACTGCTCCATTCTGTGTAGGAGATTGTCGACGATGTTGCCCTTCGCCTTCTGGCCTCTAAAATGTCCAATGAACTACATTAATTCCTTGTTATTTTGATTTTATCTATAGCTTAATCATTATTTCAAGATAAACTACTTTTACGCTCACAGGCAACGCATGGAGAGACGACCACAAACACATACACATACAATGCTATTGCACTTAATTGGTATACCGGACAAACGTCAAACAATACTTAGTTTACCAGCATCGCCATCAAACAATATATATATATATATATGCTATAACAGCTATCATACTTGTTGACTATTTTCATCGTCGCCTGGATCATTGTGAAGTCAGGCCTTTGATCCGGTTCTTCTCCCCAGCACCTTTTCATCAGGGCCGCGTATTGTTCTGTGCAGGAGCTCGCATCGATTTGAGGCCGGAAGGGAGGCTCCATGGGCTTTTTAATATTTTCTATTATCTCTACAAGTAGGATGCGTGAACGATACTTATATGAAGTGTTGCGTTGGCGTGCATGGTGCGTGGATATTTTATCTATTGTATTTGAAATGCACGATAATACTGTTTTTCACACATTGTTTCACTAATTCCAGGATTTTACGTTAATTACGTGTATTGTTTGTCTTTCAGTGACGAGCAGCTCTATTTAATGTTAGAAATAAAAGGTTAAAATAATATTATTTGAAGACTTGCAATATATGCGTATAGATACATAAATATTATTATGGTTATATTTATTTAATTCTGCTAGGTATTCTACCAATATTATGACGCATAAAAAAATAGGAAGCAATAGGACAATTGTAAATGACTAGATGAAGAGCGGTTGTGAATTAGCGTGCGCTCCGGTTTGTGTAAACGCGAGAAAGAACGAATGTAAATGAGAGAATAAACAAGAAATAGAGAGAGTGAGCATGCGAACGAAATATTTATATAATTAAGAAAACAGCCAAGCGATAAGGAAATATAGAACGATAGCGAAAGGGATCGAGCGAGAATCTAAGAGAGCGAGAAAGGAAGAAAAATAGAAAAGATGAATAAGTATGTGAACTGGTGTGGTGAAGCGTTTAAACACAGAAACAAAACATGTACGGACACGATATGGCCGGTAAAATCAAAAGCGGGAGACTTCCTGGAGATTTATAAATACCTCGTGGAGACAGGTTGCTCGTCTCGTGTGGGTCAGCACGCGTAGCAATCTCCTGCAAGATTATTGCGAAGGAATACACGTCGCCCTTCTTCGTGCCACCAGGTGGAGCTCTGTCCAGCCGCAGCAGCTCCGGGGCGGTCCATTGTTGCGCTGTGAATGGATTGTACATGAGCGTCGTCAGTAGTGCAACGGTTGGACAGAGGTTGAACGAAATGTTAATAAACGATTACGCTGAGTGGAGTTTTTCGTCGTTAAAACAATACTTTTAATTTAAGAATTACTATGTACGGCTAATTCTCAGAGTTCACGTACTACCATTGGTGCAGTGTAATAATATTTGTTAAATAATTTTGCGCCTTACCAAGGGGTACTACGGGAAAAAGTTTCACACTGCGATCTACAACTATGAGCTAGACGGAGATTCCAACGTCGAGAAAGTGGTAGTCCCTCAAAAAGAACAGAGACATTTATGACACACACGCGCACACACACACACACACACACACACACACACACACACACACACACACACACACACACACACACACACACACACACACGCGCGCGCGCGCGCATGTGTGTGCTAAACGTATTCCTCGCGCATCTTTGTTTTCAGATGATATTACCCACTTGGCGCATTGTTGTATAATTTACACGTCGCCTTCCAACAATTGCATGTCGTAGTAGAGTGACCCGTCACCTTTCTAATACATACCCTGAGACGTATATACCGTCTCCGTTGTCGCTTGTGTCCTTTCTCCTATTTATTTCATCTCGAATCATTCAACAAACCATATAATCACTGCCTATCATTCTTCAATCTAATATGACTACCGCTACGACAGGGTAAACGCGTTGACACTTCATCTTCTGCCCACCTCGGAAGTACGAGTACGAATCGATGTCAAGTAGTAAAGTAGAAGACTCTCGGAAAGACGGAAGTCCGGCATCGGTGATCTTGAGCACGAAGCGACCGTCGACCACGCAATTCGTCGACTTAAGTCGGCCGTGAGAGCCGATAGCCGTGCTGTGAATGTAGATCATGCCCTGCATAGTTAAGAAATATGATGTATGAAAATGCATGTGTATATAAATATATAAAATAAATTTATTTGTGTATATATTTATTTATATTAGACACACGCACGCACGTATACACGCACATACGCACACGTATATATATATATATAAGGATAGAAAACTGAGACAGAGAGAGCGAATGAAAAAAAGAGAGGACAGAAGGGAAATATGGCGCGAGAGCGACAGCGAAAGGGAAACAGATTCGAATAAGGCAGAAAACAGGAAGATCATCGATTAAAGTATTTTCCACCAATTGCGTGCAAAAAAGTGAGTTTTCAATTTAACGATATGTTTTGTCGTTTCCTGTTTACGTTTTTTCTTGAACAATAACAAAACCCTTTTCCTTCTATTACGACAGAGATTGCTATAGCAATTTAATAACGTTTTAGTAAATACGTAATTCTCTTTAAAAAATGAAGATTCATCAACAGCCATCTTTAACACTATGACTCATGTGGCTCTTACATTTATGATGTCATTCACAAGCGAGAACCGAAATAGCCAATCTAACTTGATTGATTCATTGCTCAAAATGTCCTGCAAACTGCCCTTCGAGCAGTATTCTGTCAAAATGGCGACGTTTGATGGATCCACGCATGCGCCAACAAAACGCGCCACGTTGTCGTGGTTCATGTCGCGCATGCGCTTTAGTTCCAGCAGCACTTCCCGCGTTAGGTCTAGTTTTTTTAAGGCGACGTGCTTCATAGCAACCATGTGACCCTGCAATGAGATGATGCAATTGTAGAATCAGCGAGCACTGTGTTTTGATAAACGTGTACGGTGTCACCTTAGCCGCAGTTTGAATGCAGTTAGGAGGGGCAACGGGGGTCCGTTCTCCCAGTTGCCCAGGTAATAAATATGATATTTTCCAGTTCCCGGTTTAGTCAAATCACGATTTCGGCTTTACTGCGTCCCCTTGGATATTTATTCTCAAATCACACACAAAAATTATTCAGTATTTCCCGGTTTCCAGATAATTAAAATGATCCAATCTGGTGTCCCGAAAAGAACCGTCCGCTCATCAGAGAATATTACGATGCAATACCGCAGCAGAGAAGCAAATGTTTTTCTCACCTTAAGATGTCCAACTTTTGTAAACATCTGGCCCTCAGCATTCGCCGGCAGACTTCCCATTGATTGCACGTCTGTCTGAAATAGAGAAGAAAACTCAGTTAACATGACCTGCCTTATTGTCCATGGATATACTAGAAGCCCGTACAAAACATGTTATGCGCGTAACACTTTGATGTATATGTAATATGTAACTAAAAATGATAATCCCTAACGAAAATTAACGAGTTGAAGAAAATGTTGTCACACTATAAATATTACGGTGGTCATTATAAGAAAAATATTGCTCAGCACTGCGTAGCTGTACTGCTATTAAACAATCAATAGCAATATAAAATATGACTGCCATCTACTCACACACGATATATATTTACATGTCATGCTAGATGTCAAAACTAATCATTTTACTTATTTACCTATGAATGTAACTTCATAAGTTACTACCTCAATATGCGAAAAGATGTAGCTTAGATAAAAATTACACGTGACCCTATCTATGAACCCTGTCCGCTTACTATTCACCTCGGCACGGGTCACGCATTGCCGATAATCAGTATTCATTTACAAGTGAAACGCCAAACCAATATACAACAACATAGAAAATACACGCGAGAATATGTTTAGTACGCACCTAAATAAATCTGTATTGACGAGAAAAGGTGAATATATAGCGCCAGCGCTTACATGCATTATTGTCAAGCTGCCTTGTTAGCTTATTGCTATTATGCTAACACGATTATATATGCGTATCGAACTATACACATGCCATGCCCGCTCGTAACTACATACTTTCCGCGATATTTACCGAAATTATTACTTACTGCATCGCGATTCAGTACTAAATATGCATGCATACAGAATTAAGAGCATTAAACGATTCAAGCGATATGAAAAAGTACACACATCGTGGACACTGCTGATGCATCATACGCACTCCTCGTATTTCGAGAAGCTCTTGGCCTGATTAACATCCTTATAGGAATACTGAGTTTTCAGCTCTAGTTGTAAGTATTGCAGGGATCCTATACGAGTAGGGTAATGCCTTTACTACTATAGTATTATTATATATACTATATATAAATATATCTACTATATATACTAGAACTGACGTGTGAAATGTGTTATTAAAACATTTTTTTATAAAAAATTCATCAAGGGAACACTTATCACTCATTCCTTATTTCTATATTTTCAGTATTTTTCTGTATTTATGCCATGGAGTGACCTGATCTGTTTTATTCGTGTTCCTGATATATCATACTCGTCATTATTATTCTTCACCGTATATATAAGTTTTGTTGCAGTACATTGGCCGCAATTAAGTCCGCTAACTCGCGCAATATAACTTACTTGGGGACTCCGCTAGCTAGAGGAGAACTAAGATAATTTACAGACATCGAGCACGTCGTGGAGGTGAGGTTCTAGGTCTGTAATGCGGTAAAACAAAAATTCGTATTATAAAAGTGCGTTTCCGTAATAAAATGGTATAGAAAAGTCATTTAATCAATAGATGGCCGGTCGCGCTACGATTAACTCAACGTACGTGTGAGATTCATGGTGATATACCTCTTATATCGACACTGAACAACGTTCTACTTGAATAACACACTGACTATGTGGACCGAAACAAAGCATACACTCTCCCAAAGTAATTACCGATAGCACACATACTCTTTGATTGATGGACATGGTCAAAAGCTTGTCGACACGATAGACAGGATAGTGAGGTGAATCAGGCTAGCTACCGGCAACCCTAATGCCTTGGGGGATCTACGCAGAATAATCAAACCAATTGAATCCATGATCGAGTCAAAAATGCTATTGCGAAGATGTGAGATCTTGCCGGTTAGGATAGAGTGAGCTCGTTGGACATACACTTTTCTCACCATCATTACGGGAGACACCGAACAGGGCGTACTAGTTTCAAATGAACACCCACCTCCGAGTACATATTAACCTACGTAGGTTAGCGGCGCCTTTACATACGGTTCGACC